TATACTCCAGTCCAAACCTTTGGTTCCCTTCCATTCAACATCTTTCCAATTTGACGGGCCATGAGAGTTTTGCCAGTGCCAGGAGGTCCATAAAGTAGCATACCTTTTACATGCTTAATCCCCAATCTGGAAATTCAAAGACTTTCTCGTTAGTGGATGATGCATAGCTACCAAAAATATAAATATGATAATTTGAGATGTTAGCTACATTACTTGCTTGTCACATGGGGAGGGAAAACCCGAGAAGCAAAAGCTCTTCGAAATATATCAGCAAACTCATTGCTTAAGCCTCCTATACCCAGTGACAGGAGATTAAACTCCTTTTGCCTGAAGATGTTGCTACTGGCAGCTTCATGCTGATTTACAATCTAAATAGCAGAAAAGCAAGTTACTGAATCAATAAAGCTGGTCATATCGAGACAGTCAAATTTTAATTGAGATGAGAGGATAAAATTAAAAATAATCTCTATGACTCGTCTCAAATTGAATAGAAGTCATCTGAATAGAAGATGAAAGTAAAGAAATGAGAACATGTGGTGATGTATAACCTTTATTCCACTTGAATTTGATGCCTCAAAGATAATATATGTCTCATTTGAAATCAGTCCCCTTTCAGGAGCATTAGATCCTTCTTGCCCCTCTAAAACAGCTTGATTGACAGTAAAATTATAATTATTCCCATGATACTCAAAGAAAACTCTTTGGCCTGCTGTCATAACCTGCACATAAGGTTACCAACGTTCAATGACTAAAAATATGACTCTCAAATGAGAAAGGAATGATAAACAAAGATCAATCAATTCAGTCCATTCTGTATGCATTTAAGTAGTAAGAAAGTTTGTGTGTGTGAGTCTAAATCCACCCACAGAGATGTTACCTATCAGATCTACATTTCTTTTCCCCTTCTACATAAGAGCAATGATGATTACATTAACAATTGGACAGGAAGTCCCGGCCAACAAATTTAACCTTGTGGAAACAAATGAGCTTCTAATATTTTTTTATTTTTACATATAATAATCACACTTAAGCAGCTTGTAACTGTCAAAATAGAATTTGTATTTAATTTTTCTGACACCCAGAGTTCTAAAAACTGCACCTAACTGACACATCCATTAGATATAAATCATCTGTTCCATTATTTTAAGAATGAAAACTCCTGTAACATTATGACGGCAGGAAGGAAATTCAAATTTCAAAATCAGCTCGTCTAAAACAAAAATAAAGACAGAAGAAAAACCTAGTAGCATGCTGATGAAAAAAGTCAACCATATAAAACTCTACCTGGTTAATAAACCTCTGTTTTAACTGCATAGCCAGCAGAACAGCATCAACCTACAAAAGGATTGAAAATTTTAGTCCTACCACCCTCATGAAGCAATAGAAAAACTAGTAGGACAGTAAACAAACCATCAAGACTGAAAAACTACCTGCTCATTCTTAGTCCCCTTCTTCATGAATTCCAGCTCAAGTGTAAGCAATGCAAGGTTAAAATTATCTGGAGGAATAAATCTATATATACCAAAGAAAACTCAGAAATTATTAATAGTGGAAACACAAAAAATAAAAAAAATAAATAAATAAAAAATTTTTAAAAAGGTGTGAGGTTATTGACCTGCTCACAGATATGGTGTCACCAGTAGAAACTTTTGCATACCGTCGTTGGATGGCATTTAGGGCAATGTAGCCACTATGTATACTTTCATGAGAAGTAAACCTAAGTTAAGGCCTCCAAACAACCAGTAATTTGGAGTAATTTTTTAAAAGTTTGATCTTTATAAAAGCAACAAGTTTATCAAAATTATGATTAGGGCTAAAAAAAAATTAAAATTTAGTACCAAAAAAAAAAGAGGAACTGAAAAATAACTCAACATAAATATCTACTTTCCTATTTTTGCTTATAAACTATATTTTAGAAATTAGTTTCTACTTCACAGCTCAAGCAGGTCCTCTCATAAATAAGATAGTTTATGGCCTCAACACTCAAATATCTAAAATGCATATGGTAAAATCAAAGCAAATGAAGTAAAATACTATCAAATTATGAAATCATCAACATATGAAGAAAATGCCATGAAACTAAGGAATGTAGCTAGTGATGAAGGAATTCACGTCCAAGAACTTTCAGCACTTTGTCAAATGTGGTAGATTTATCAAAACAAACACAAATATCAAATACTAATGATCCATAAACTCGTGCCTAAATGAAACTCAGACAGTACAGCAACTAAACAGAAATGAAACTAGCATGCAACTAAACCAATTCTCATTCTCATCAATTATAAAAAGAACCAGCAATACATTATCAAATAATCATTCGCATCTCAACATCAGTTCATGTGATGGAAAAAAAAAAAAAAAACAAAACAATGTAGAGCCTAAGCGCACGTATATTGCAGTTAATCAGCAAAATAAAGAATCACACTAAAGTATTCATGCTACCAGCCGATTATCAACTCATCTGAGAATTATCACTCGCATTTGGATTAAAGGTGTGATTAATCCTCAAAATCAAAACAATTCTTACTCTCTCGAAACAAAACAATCACTTCTCATTTCTCAAAATTATCGATCACAACTTTAATTTTCAAACGGTTATAAAGGTGACGAGAGTGGCATATACTAATTTTAGAATAACTTGGAATTTTCAAGAAAAACAAAGGAATGAAACTGTGAATCACATGAAATTGAAGCGAAAGAGCAAATAAAAAGGATATGAAACAGAAAGGACGAAGACGTCGGCAACATTGGCGAGGAAGAGCTGAGAACCAGGGATGCCGAAACCATGGTGATCGGCCGGCGAGCAGTGGGCGAGATTGGTGAAGGCGAGATCTGAAGCCGGCGTGTTGGTGACGATCATGCTCGCCGTTGATTTTCTTCTGCTTCGTATAGATCTGTAGCAGTTAACTTAAGATGCGCGTTCGCTTCGAGTGGAAGAGACGGAGAATCCTTATATATATTTTCTTTTTCTGCGCGGGAAAGATACATACATACATACATGCATCGAAGGAGCCCTGCATTTTCTGAGAGCTGGCGATTGCGTGTACGCGGAATTTGCTAAGTCACTTATCTTTTAAAAAGCTAACGAATATGCCTTCTATCTTTCTTTCATTTCACTACAACACCGTCAATCTTTTTTTGTTTGTATTTTTTTTTTTTTGTGTTAATTATTCGGAAAGTTATTCCCTAATGGCAAGACTAAATGCTAAATTCAAAATAAAATAAAATGATTTAGGGTGAGGTTAATAAAGGAGTGAAAAAAGAATAACTAAAGTTAGTTTGATGCTTTACTTTTTTTTAGAACTTGATTCAAAAACATTTTAAATGCTAAAAAGTAGAGATATTTTAATCAAAATTTTAAAATAAGAGAAAAAAGTGCTAAGAAATTTTTATTTTGTCCAAATAGTGCTAATAAACTTTTAAAATTGTGTAAAATTAAGAAACTTATAATGAATTAAAAGCATTTAAATAATATTTGATAAGTAATTTTAATATTTAAAATATTAAGACTTCTAATTTTCATTTTTTTTTCTAAACTTTTCTCTTATCTTAATTTTTTAAAAGCTAAAATTAATTTTTAAAAATATTAGAACTTAGAAGCAGTTATGTTTTTTTTTTTTTTTAACATATAAGAATTTGAGGAAAAGGGAATTAATTTTTCAAAATTTAAAATTAATGTTAAGATCTTAACATATTTATATTTTATCTAACTTAACTAGTACTACAATTGTTAGAAACAATTATATTTGGGCCTACATTCTACTTGATTTTTTTCTCTTTCTTCTTTATTTTAACCAAAAATATATTTGTTTTCTTCTTTTTCTCTTTGAGTTTGTTTATTTATTTATTTTAAATTGAACAATAAATTCAATTCTCGATTTTTCTCTGATAAATTTCTTTAAAAAAAAAAATCAAGTTTCTAATTTTCTTTTGCGTACATCAGAAGCTATTAAAAGCTTAATATCCAAGTAACATGGTCCAGTACAATTACCCCGCAGGATCGTTGCTAACCCACCATCGGGGGTTGGAAATTGAAATGAAGTTTCTAACACCATAAAATATTTGTTATTATCAAAATATAAATTATTTTTGGATTAATATTTGGACTCGAGTCAACTACTCGATATATGTATTTTTTAATTTTTAAAAAATCTAAAACCCCATTTTCAGGTAAGCTAAACCCTGGTGATACGGATTTTGCCAATAAGAGAGACGGAGCACAGCAATCCCCCATGGCTCACCGAGGGGGCAGCCAGTTACCATCACGCCGTGCGACGGCTCTCCTCCCTCAAATGGACACCTCCTATCTCCGTCTTCAAAACTCTAATATCAAATCCCCATCTCACAAAACTCATTCCCAGTTTAGATCGGTCCCAGTTCACCTTCTGGCCCCAAGCACGCTACTTCTCGTCGAGCAAAGACGATGATGGCAGTGAAGACGATGACGAAGATGAAATAGAAGAAACCAGTGACGGAGAGGGGAATGCAACGCTGGAGTCGACGAGGGAGTACTCGCCGGAGGAGAAGGAAGCAGAGGCAGCTGCTATCGGGTACAAAGTCATGGGTCCGCTTCAGTGATCCGATCGGGTCTTTAAACAGTGCGAGCCAGTTTTCGCGGTGGTTCAGGTTTTCATTTATGAGTTTGTTTCCATGTTTTCGTGTTAACAAGCAAAAATGCTGAAAATATTGGTTTATGGGGTTTTTGCTTTTATGTAGTTTTGTGGGTTTTATTGGTGTAGATTGGGTCGCATCAGTTTAAAGTTAGCAATGGGGATTGTATTTTTACGGAAAGGTTGAAATTTTGCGAAGTAAATGATAAGGTAAGGATTAATGGTCTTTGAATTAGACAAATTTAAGGTGCAATTTCTGGTTTTTCTGTTTTGTTTCTGTTATGTTGAGCTTAGCTTCATATTTGTGATTGGAATCTGATTTCATCTTGCAACACCTTCAGTTAAATTCAGTAGCATTTTTATGCAAATATACCTATATTTTCAAGCATCTCCCTGTTTTTACTTTTTATTGGAGAATTCTGGAACTGATTTTGAATCATTTATAGCATCCTCTTGCTGAAAAGGGCAACTCTTCAGTCGTCAGTTTTTCAGTCTCTTATTTTAGGTCAACTCTGTCTGTCAGTGGAACTTGGAACTCCCAAAAAATCATAAAATCTTACTAGTTTAGTAGTTTCTTTTTGTGTTCTGAGCTTGAGAGCAGTAGAGGTTCCTCCTCTTCTTCTGGAATCGTGCCCATCTGTCAGTCACTGGGTTGTGTTGAACTCCCTGAGTAGGGGCAGACTAGAGGAGGCAGGGGATGGGCTACACCCAGAGTAGAAATTAGAAAATCTCACACAATCAGGCCTAATACAACTTGATTTGGAGAGTTAGTTGTCCCCCATTTTTCTGGTTCCCTATATAAGGGTTTTCATATGGATGCACGTTCCAAAATCAAATATGAGCAAATAAGCTTCTACACTGACTGACAGTTGATGAAGTCTCACCATTTATGTACCTTTCATGTTACCAGTCAAACCAATGTTTTTGTTGGATCATATTGAGTCATGTAACTTACCTGTAAATTCCATAAGCTTATGATTATTCTCATTTGATCAAATGCAAAGCCATTGGCTAAAACTGAGTGCTTTGACCATGTTCATCTCTGTTACTGTTAGCCAACTGCAGTCTAACTGGCACCAGATTTATGGTGTATGTGTTTCTGTTCCAACCGATCCTAATGGACGGTAGAGAATGCATCTTTTGGAGTTATGTTGTATTGACGTAGTTAAAACTTATTACTTTAGTTTCTATTTTCAGTTTCCTCTGCTGAATTTTAATTGGTTTTGTAGGTTAATGTGCCTCAGAGAAAAGCTTCATATCTTCTCAACTTATTGATCTCTCAGTTAGCTTATTTGACTTTTTATTGCAGTTGATTTTGAATAAGGTTCTCCTGCTTGGCTCAGCTACTCAAACAATCATTGGTAGGCCTATTGTGCCGCATGCAGCTGTTTGTGCAGCTGTTGAGGAGCATGTAAGTGTCTTACCTGATTTTCATCATTATCTGTGTCCGTAACCCGTTTGTGGTTTGGTCATGTTAACTAATAGAAGTTTTATCAGTTTTATCACATTTCCTGAAAGCTGACTCTTTTTTAAGGGGGAAGGGGGCAGGGGGGCATGCTCTTTAGAAAGAACTAAATATTTCTAAAAGTGAATACTCTTTTTTTATGCTAAATGATGTGATGGATTTCTTATTTATAGAGGGGAGGGGTGGAATTTTTGAATTTCAGGGAAGAAAAATGGAAAAACAAAGTGTATGGTTTTTTTATTCCTATGCTCTGTTGTTGTTCTTAGTCCATTGGAATAATTTAATTATCATAATTCATTTGTTTTCTGACAGGCATTAGATGCGAAGGTAATTATTTTCAAGAAAAAGAGAAGGAAGAATTACAGGCGAACTAAGGGACATCGCCAGGTATGCCAAAGAACTTATGTTTAAACTGTTGTGTCTTGCCTGATCAAACTTAAGTTCAATCATCAATCATCAATCATCAATCATCATTATTTCTCTTGTATTCTGTCAGGAACTGACCAAGTTGAGGATAACTGATATACAAGGAATTGAAAAACCAGAACCAAAAGCTGAAGGAAAAAAGCCTTTAAAGTTGGCTACTGAAGTCAGAGAAGCTCATGGCTGCTGCTTAGGAAGGGATGTCACCAGGGCTGTTTATTGTAACAAATGGCTCTCCATGATTCAATGTATACTTGTGTGTCCAATGAGGTTGAATTTTACCTGCCAAGTGGGCACTGGTTATGGGGATGGTTTGGTTGAAGCATGCTTTGCTCTTCCAAGAGCGGGGGTCAAATTTTGTGTTCTTGTAGTTCTTGTTCATTTATTTGTATTTAGTAACCTAGATGGTGGGATTTCACTTAACACACTCCTTCCCAGGTACAACTTTTTCCAAGTTCAGACCAAGTTGCAGTTTGTAGCACTTCATTGGAAATTAAATTTAATAAAGTTTTCTCAACCAGTAATTCCACATGGTGAATGGTATGCGTATGTAGAAACTAGAAATTAATGACTGTTGTTGGGTTGGTTCACTGGATGGCTGGTGTTAAACATGTTCCTAGTTGAAAATTTGGACCCAATCCCAATCCCTCTAGAATATCTCCAGCAAGGTAAACAGTTCCTAAAGACAGTGAAGTCCTTATCTCCTAAGTTTCAAAAGAAAGTTGGGTGGTGCATCATGCATGTCTAACGAATCTCAATAGCACAGCTGTCTTATGCTTTATCTTCCGCGTTCTTCCAAAGGGCACAGGAAACCTGGTCCACGTTACTCAATGGAGAAAAAGGTCTGGTGCATTCGTCGGTTCCTTTGCAATCTTTTAGTTCGTTAAATGAAGTTTCTCAAATATCTTTTCAACAGTTATTTGAATAAAGGAACCGGACCTTTAAACCCAATGGTTCAACCCCAAGCCTTAAGTGCTTGGGTGAGGTGGTTGGAGTTTTGAACTCTATCACTGTCATGAACTCCACCAAAAAACGACTTAATGATCGCGCACCTCATTTGAGGGGGTGAACTGTTCACCTGATCTGAGAATCGAATCTCCAATTGCTAACAACTAATTCAAACTAACTTCTTAACCATTATCCTTATAAAAAAAAAAATATTTGAATAAAGATTGGATAAGCTTTGGCAAAGAGAATCTATTTAGGAGGCAGCTGGACCTGATAAAAAAAGCAAGAAACTACCAGTTGGCTGAACAAAAGGTGAGAATGAAAACAGAAGTTTTTATTTATTTATTTTTATTTTATTTTATCTAGGTTCTGTTTCAGATATTCTCAATTTTCAGTTTCACCCAATAATTTCCTAGGAGTGTTCTTAAACTATACATCTCTCTAAATTTTTATCACTAACAAACCTTATAATTTGTGCACTTTTTTTTTATTTTTAACAATTTATAATTTTTTAGGGATTGGAAAAGGGGATTTTTCAAGACGTTAGTAAAATTTGAAATTTTGATAAATTAATCCAAACACTTTAAAATTGAGAGACAAATCACTTGAATATGAAAGTCCAATTTCATAATTTGTGCACATTTCGTGCTTTCATGAAGAACAATCATTGATTCTGCTGAGACCTACCATTTACAAAATATTAAATTATTAAAAAAAGAAGCTTAAAAAGTGGCCACAAGCAATGTTTTTAAAACCGAATTAGAGATCAAACCGTTTTGATCTTTAGTTCACAATTTTGACGATTCAATCAATTTAATCGGTTAAAAACCTAAGTTGATTGAATTTTGAATTTATATATTAAATGTAATATAATGTAATCCATTTCAATGAATTAGTAGTGACTCTAGTGGTTAGGGGTCCATACCTATAGTAAGGAGAACTAAGGTTCGAGTCTTATGTGTGTTAAAATTATTCAATTCACATAATACTATTATAATAAATAAATTTTAATGCATTAACCCACAACAAACTTGCTTCGTGAGTGGCATGAATTATTTGAAACCTTTAAGAGATTCAATGTCTAAATCCAAAGGAAGCCATTTTTCCTTTAAAATCCTTGTAATATTCTTTAAAAGATATTCTTTACAACATATTTCACAAGAAGTTGGATTCTCTAGTGGCGAATTGCTCGCAAACCTCTCATGAGGTCTGCTATTCGAAACCCACACGAGGCAAATTTTGGAGAATTTTGTCCAAAGAGTTGGTCCAGTCGTTGCACAGGTTGCCGATTCTGATCAATTTTGAACGATTCAATCGATCGGTATGGTCCGATTTTCAAAACATTGGCCACAAGGGCAATATCAGACAAATAAAACAAGGAAGAGACTTACTATCTTGACATATGGGAAATCATCGTCAATGCCAACAGTATGTCATGGCACGCGAGGTTGGGGGTCGAAGTCATGGGCATCATGACACGGAGCTGCAGCCATAGGCACATAGGAGGTGTGTGCAGCGTCCAGGGGGCATGCCGTGCAGCATCGCGGAGTGCAAGCGCGGACACGAGGGCAGGCATGAGCACGACCACGAGCACAAGCGCAAGCGTGGATGCGGGCATGCGAGATGCGAGTGTTGGTATCGTGACACGGGGTTGCAATTACGACACTTATGCATACGAGGGAGTAGGCACAAGGTGGAACACTCAAGATGCAGTGGGCCTTACCAGCGGAGGCGTCGATACCGGGGCCGTGCCGTAAGGTTACGGACAGGACACGTGGGAGCGTGCAGGAGCAGTCGGGGGCGACATCCATGGGCGCGCGAGAGTGTCCTTGCTCGAGACACGGGTGCACACACCGGCAACCTGGGTCGAGACGCTGGCACACATGGGGGCGGACAAGCTCGAGGCATTGGCGCACATGGGAGCGGCCAAGAGCGTCCACAGAGCAGGCCATGCGCGCGGCGGAAGAAGTGTCGACACGTGAGAAATACACGTGGCTATGGTGTCGACACCTTTGCAGCGGATTGGAGCGGTCCAAAACTCTCTAGAAGCTGCTGGGCGCGCGAGAACAGTACCAGACAAGGTTCTAGATGGGCTTGTTAGGCCAAGCCCGACCTGAGATCTTCCTAGGGCCTTGTACATAATTCTAGGATGGGTTATTCTAGAATAATGTAGGCTTAGGAGGGAGAGTGGAGAATGTTCTGGAATTGTACACATGAGGGGAAATCTGTGGAGTGTTCTAGAGCCCTCATCTGCAGAGGGGCTTGGGCCTGGTCTCTTCTATATATATGGGTGGTCTAAGTAGAAGAGATAGAGATAGAGAGTGAGCTGCTAGGTGAGTGAGTGCAAAGAGGGTTTGTACTCATGCTCTTGTCCACTTCCTTGCGATCTTAATAAATTCTCTTCTTCTCCCAACTTCCTCCCTTCGTATTCGTGTTGCTAACCTCGAGCCCAGTTAGAGGGCCACGCCAAGTGTTGGGGAAGGCTGATCTGGTTCAGGTTTACGGAGTTAATTCCGAACTAAGTACCACACGGGGACCAGCTAGATTCCACCTTCATGACAAGTGCTATCAGAGCTAGTCTCACCCTGTGACAGATGGTATTAGAGCATGGTTCAAACTTGCACTAGAACACGGTTCGAAGCCTACTCCAGACATGGTTTGAGCCTGTCTAGAGCCTAGTTGCAAGGGGAAACCGTAACCATGGCGAGCAAAGGCATGACGGCAAGCGACATTCTGGAGGAGAAACAAGGTCGCGTGGGGACGCAAGACGGAAGAGAAGGTCGAGGGCGGTGTCACCAGCATCAATGGACATCGAGACAGCCTTTGAGGGAAGGTTGGCCAAGAGGGAATTGGCTATGGGGGACGTCCATGAGCAACTTGACACTCGACTCCGAGGAGGATGGGGGTGGCACAGTTGAGCCACTTGAAGGTAAGCTTCAAGGTGCCTTCAACTCCTTCATTGCTAACGTGAACAGGGCTGTGGAAGAGCTTCAAGGGTCCTTTGTAAGCAACGGTGAGCGACACAAGCCACATAGAACCTCCAATCCATGTGGGGGCATGGAAACCACGGGGGATGACGACTATGAACGACCCAAGAGGAAGCAGGGGTGCTTCTTGTGTGGAGGGCCACACTGGACAAGGGAGTGTCCACGGAGGGATGCACTCAATGCCATCATCAGGGTTGGTGTGGAGTCCAGCCACACGAGGGAGGTCAGCCACATGGTGAAGTTTGAGCCTGGGGAGGCAGAGAACATGGCACAGATCTCACACAATTTGCGGTAGAGGCAAGGGAGCAATGCCGCCAAGCTAGAGGAGTCCAGCCACATGGGAGAACCGAAGCCTGAGGAGGCCAAGGACGTGGCACAGGACATGAGCGACTCATGGCAGTAGCATGGTGAGGATGCAGCACAGACTTGTGGCAACTTGTAGGAGGGATCGAGGCACTCGACGCGAGGTGCCTTGACGAGGGCGTCAAGGGCTTTGGTGGGGGAGAGTGTCACGGCATGCGAGTTTGGGGGCCGAAGTCATGGGCATCATGGCACGGAGCTACGACCACAGGCACACGAGTTGTGTGTAGCATCTAGGGGGCATGCCATGCAGCATCGCGGAGTGCGAGCGCAGACACAAGGGTAGGCGCGAGCATGAGCACAGGCGCAAGCGGAAGCAAAAGCGCAAGCATGGACGCTGGCATGCGGGACACTAGTGTCGGTTTTGCAACATAAGGTTGCGATTACGACACATGCATACGAGGGCGCAGGCGCAAGGTGGAATGGTCAAGACGCAGCGGGCCTTGCCAGTGAAGGCGTCAATACCGAGGTCGTGGCGTAAGGTTGCGGACAAGACACGTGGGAGCATGCAGAAGCAATCGATGGCGACATGCATGGGCACGCGAGTGTCCTCGCTCGAGACACGGGTGCACACACGAGCAACCTGGGTCAAGACACTGGCACGCATGGGGGCGGACAGGCTTGAGGCACTGGCGTACACGGGAGTGGCCAAGAGCGTCCACAGAGTGGGCCATGCGCGCAGCGGAAGAAGTGTCGACACGCGAAAAATACACGTGGCTATGGTGTCGACACCTTTGCAGCGGACGGGAGCAGTCCAGAACTCTCCAGAAGCTGCAGGGTGCGCGAGAACAATACCAGACAAGGGTCTGGATGGGTTTGTTGGGCCAAGCCCGACCTGAGATCTTCCTAGGGCCTTGTACATAATTCTAGGATGGGTTGTTCTAGAATAATGTAGGCTTAGAAGGAAAAGTGGAGAATGTTCTGGAACAGTACATATGAGGGGAAATCTGTGGAGTGTTCTAGAGCCCTTATCTGCAGAGGGGCTTGGGCCTGATCTCTTCTATAAATAAGGGTGGCCTAAGTAGAAGAGATAGAGATAGAGAGTGAGCTGCTAGGTGAGTAAGTGCAAAGAGGGTTTGTACTCATCCTCTTGTACACTTCCTTGCAATCTTAATAAATTCTTTTCTTTTCTCAACTTCCTTCCTTTGTATTCGTGTTGCTAACCTCGAGCCCAGTTAGAGGGCCACACCAAGTGTTGGGGAAGGCTGACCTGATTCGGGTTTATGGGGTTAATTCCGAGCTAAGTGCTGCACAGGGACCAACTAGATTTTGCATCCGTGACAAGTGCTATCGTAGCTAGTCTCACCCCGTGACAAGTAGCTGCCCATGTAGTGTTACCACTGTCCGGAGAAAAAGAATCAAAATATATATTTTTTTGCCGTTAAAGAATCAGAAGTGGTTGCATGTTCAAAAAAAAAAAAAGAATCAGAAGTGGTTGAAACATTAAAAAATAAAAAAAAGAAGAGAAGAGAATAATAAAGAAAAGCGGTCATGCTTACCTGCCACTCGATCCTTCTAGTAGGCAAGTGACAAGAGGACTTCCTTCACTCACTTTAACTTGTTCCACTAGCAACATGGCTCATTGATAAATGTGTTTATGACGATTACCAGAGTACACCATGCCATAAAGTCTACAAATTATTTTGTGTAATATTTTAGAACAAAAGTTTCAGAGATGTTTATATAATCTCTAATGGTTA